TTATTTCTAGGTTGAAACTCTCCTTGGTCAGCTTCCATCCATTATTCCTTGCCTGGCCTTCAGGTGCCTTAGAACAGTGTTTTTCAACCTTTTTTGTGCAAAGGCACACTTTTTTCATGAAAAAAATCACGAGGCACACCACCATTAGAAAATGTTAAAAAAATTTAACTCTGTGCCTATATTGGCTATAGGCAGGTGTTTTTCCCACGGCACACCTTACACTATGTCACGGCACACTAGTGTGCCGCGGCACAGTGGTTGAAAAACACTGTTCTAAGGCACCTGAAGGCCAGGCAAGGAATAATGGATGGAAGCTGACCAAGGAGAGTTTCAACCTAGAAATAAAGAGGAACTTTCTGACAGTGAGAACAATCAACCAGTGGAACAGCTTGCCTTCAGAAGTTGTGAGAGCTTCATCACTTGAGACTTTCAAGAAGAGATTGGACTGCCGTTTGTCAGAAATGGTGTAGGGTCCCGTGCTTGAGTGGAGGGTTGGACTAGATGACATATAAGGTCCCTTCCAACTCTGTTAATATGTTAAAAACTATTCCACAAAGGGCCAGTTCAGTTTATTTATTAAGGCACCAGACAAGACCGTGAATTCTACTCCTGCCTTAACCATAAAAGTTGGCTGATCAACTTTGGGCCAGTCTCTCTCTCTCTCTCTCTCTCTCTCTCTCTCTCTCTCTCTCTCTCTCTCTCTCTCTCTCACATATATAAAGAAAAACGCATATATAAAGAAAAATAACTAAAAGAGCTAATTCTTCCAATGAGAATTGGGTTGTGGGATTCAGAGGAAGAGTGAATTAGAAGTTTCTTGGTTCCCAGGCAGCCCTGGCCAGAAGTCCTCAGAAAAGCAAGGAGGTTAAGAAATATATTTTGTTTGATAGTCCTAAAATGTAGACCCTCTGCCCAATCTCCCTGGGAACTACATCCAGTAATGTAAATTTGGCAGGAAAAATATGAAGTGGCTATGCCAGGTTATGTCTTTTTTCCCTCTAGTATTGCTTTAACTCTGTTCTATAGCCTTGTTTTTGTTTTTTTATTTATTCAACTATTTTTATTCATCACAGTTTTAAACCACTCATCTCCCTGACTGAGGCACTTTTGTTCCCATTCTCTGTCCTTCCATCTCTCTGTTTGTCTACGCTAGTTTCGATATGCAGATCTTAGTCTTAAGGACCTTCATTCTGCTCTCCTGTTTCCTCAAGTCTTTCTTTTGCTGTCCTTATTAAAACAAAACTCCTTTATTCTTTCTTACTTTAGTGCTGGGTTTTCTACCATGGTGCACTCCCCTACTACTTAAACCTTAACGGCCCTGTTTAGGATGGAAATTGGAGCCTTTCATTGAAAACTTTACTTCTGGTGAAGAGGATGGCAGATTCCCAGGCTAGAATTCAGCCGGCGGTCAGACTTTGAATTTGATGCAATTTTCCACACACTTAACATCTCCTCCCTAGATAATATCTTTTTGTGTACAATGGAACCACTTTAAACAGTTTGTTTTCCTCTTTCAATACAAAGTGCAAATTTTGTATATATCTACAGCAGTTAATCAGAGCAGCTCTTTCTTCCATTTAATTCCCAATGTAATCAAGTGTTTGCTTTGAGCTTTTCAGCCTTGGAGCTAGATTAGTGTTGTTGGTTGGCATACTTGAGCCCAGAATTATGGTCAAAAAGTCATTGGGGTTGTAAGTTGACACATCATGTGACTGGACCCAATTATTATTTTTTGACATTTTTCACAGTGGTCATTAAGCGAACACGGCAATTGTTAAGCAAATTAATTTCCCCCAAAGGGTGATTTTTACTGTCAACTAGAGGCAAACAACAAAAACTAGCAAAAATGTCACAAACTGTGGTCACGTAACTGCAGGATGATGCAAACATCCGTAAAGGTGAGCTGGTTGCTAAGTGTCCAAAATGCAATCATGTGTCTACAGGTATGTATGTGTGTGAGTGTGTGTGTGTGAGAGAGTGTGTATCAGAGGCGGGTTGCTCCCAGTTTTACTACCATGCGCAGTTTAACGTGAATTGTTCTTCGCGCATGCACAGAACATTTTACAGTGAACTCTGCATGCATGCGCAGGGAACCAGTTCAGGGGCGTGGCCAGCTTGGGTTGCTGCCGGTTCTGTGCCCCAGGCCAAAATACCACTACTGGTTCAACCCACCTCTGGTGTGCATGTTATAACTCTAAATAATCATTAAGTGATCATAAGTTGAGGACTATCTGTAACTGATGTTTCTGTCTTGAGAAATTCTGGCTCCTAACTTAATTCCCTCACCATATTCTTCTCCATCCCATCCCCTTCTATGTGCCTAAAATGACCAGGAACCATTCCTTCTACCTCTTGTTTCAAATTGGCAGGGAGGGGAAGGTGTTTCTTCCCTTCCTCCATCTCCATAGTGATTGTTGAGAGCAGAGTGAGAAGAATGGTTGGCCTTTCTCTTTTTCCATTGATCTCTGTGTGTAAATGCTTCTTTTCATTTGGAGTTAACAAATCGGCCACAGTTTCATAACTGTCTATTTCCAAAAGCCAATAGAGATGTATGTCATCCATCCCGACCTATGTGTAAAGTTCCTGCTTATTTCAAGCATAGATTTAGTTGATTATTTCCAAAAGATTCATTGGGTACAAAAGGAATTGTAGGGAGTTCCAAAGATTGTAACACAGAATCTTAAGTTAGCATCTAAAGTTGCTGGGAAACTCCAAGCCAGGCAGCAAAGAGGAGTCAAGCAGGGAACTAGCCTGGAGTCCTTAGACAGCTACAAGAAACATAAGTCTGATTTTCTCCTCCCCCACCCCCACACACAAGTTCCATGAAACCTTATCTACTTGTTCCCAAGGTATTGGATATAAGTGTTGGCTAACTAGTTAATGGTCAACAGAGTTTGTGGAGATGGAGTCAGTAGCCATTATTTTAAAGTTTGAATTGTATGCAGTGGCTTTCCTCCCACTGAGGTGGGAATAGATGAGTGGGAATTCCAATTGTCAGGCTGCCTAAATTGAACTCAGCAAAAGCTTCTCAGATATGGCCCTGGTGGGTAGGTATTTTTACTGCATACTACAGGAACTTACTTTGCTTGATGATTGTCAGTTTGAAGTCAAGACTTTTCTTAAGCCTGCAGTGGTGAATTCTAGTGTTTCTTTTCCCAGTTTAAGGGATATTTCGCAATGGATTTTTCAATCTGGGAAATAGAAGAGTGATAGTGGTTCACATAATTAACATTTCTTCTATGAGGGATTGTAGTTCCCAATATAACTCCTGGGGAGGGGAGGGGAAGAACTCTCCTGCTACCTCAATCAGATTCCAGGTGAAGGGAGCACCTTTCCATTGACGGTGTAACTAGCTGCCTGGGTGGAACAATTTTACCAGTGGAATCTACACACCAGACACCCTAAAACTCACCCCCCCCACACACACACAAACACTTCTGAGTATCTGTCTTATTAGCTCCACAGAAATGAAGAGCTGTTTTTGTTATTAAATTTGAAGGGGAGAAGTGATCAATGGAGGATTTGGTCTTGTCCTGGATGGTTCAACAGGTGCCGAAGAGCGTGCAAAGATGATGTTGAACTGGGATGTATCTAATGGGGTAAGTAAAAATAGATCAATTTGAAGTGGTTGCATGTTTTAAAACAAGTGTAAATGAATAGATTTTCTTATGGAACTTAGTAAAATGCTATGGATTGTATTTTTCGCTCCATAAGACGCACTGGACCATAAGACGCACCTAGGCTTAGAGGAGGAAAACAAGAAAAAAATATCATTAGGCAGAGCCTGAGAGGACTACAGATAGGTGTCCTCTTATGTGCCAGCTCTGCCTATTGACTCCTGCACTGCAGAAAAGAAACAGAAGAGACGGGGCAATGACAAAGACAGAAGAGGCGGGGTTCCACACTATAAAAGGACCCCACTGAGGCAGCCCGACTGCTATTCACCAAAGGACCAGCACCCTTTCCACCAACTTTTGGGGAGTGGGGGAAGTGAAAAATACGGTATATTCTAACAATATACAATATATTACATATTTGATGGGATCTACAGGATTTGTTTACTATCTTTATTGGGTAATTACAGAATGAGAAACAAACCTTTCAGTGCAAAATCCAAATCACTTTCCTTTTTATGCTAAAGGAAGGTGACATAGAATTCAAGATGATTCCAGTCACCCACTCCTGAAGAAGATACATATACAAATATACCCAAATCTTGTGCAATATTCAGCTTCCCCACCTTGTCAGCTTGGGGAGTTTCTTAATTTATTTCCAAATAAAATATATGTTTAATTGCAAAAGCTTTCATATTTATATTATAGAAGCTCATGGCTTCATAAAATCTTTCTTATTCCAGTTATTGAAAGTTTTTAACTTCCAAATTGGCTTTTCTGAAACTAGAATACTGTGAGAATGTCATTCAAGGGGCACAAATACCACTATCTCTCAAGTCATGCATATCACATCCTGTGTTATCTGAACAGTGTGTAGTCATTATATTTCATAACTGCAAAAGTAGGTAAAAGGGCGAAGTATATTGTTGCTGTGATTGACAGTAATTACATTAATCACCAAAATGGCACCAGCTTAGTATCATCTTATCAGTTATAAGTTTTCTGGATTCAACTTCTTATCAAGCTGGCTCTGTTCCCATACTCCATTATACTGGTCTTGATTTGAGTTCCAAACAGCTTCCCGAAACCAACAGTGGAGTGTTAACTAAGGCAGTTAATTGATAGGAGCAACAGCAGTGGCTCACTATTTTAAAGAATTTCCATTTGAATCAATCAAAGGAGCTGACTTTGAACAATATAATGACTGACAGTTAATGAAAGCATTTGAGAAGAAACAAAGTGCCACTAGGGCCTCATTTGTCCCAACTTAAGACAAAAATGAATTAGTTTTGGTGCCTGCCATTCATCTGCTTCTTCACTGTCAACTGACTAGCTTTTATTATTATTATTATTATTGTATTTATGTCCCTTCTTTATTTTGTAAAACTCTGAATGAAGCACCCAGTGTTCCTGCCAGTGAGATGGGTTCGACTGAGAATGACTGGTTAACTTAGTCACCCAGGAAATTTTCAGACCTAAGAGAAGACTACAATGTAGTCTCCTCATTTCTAGTCCAGCACTATTTTTTTTTGTTCTCTAAATAGTTGTATACTCATTGGTTAGAACTTAGATGGTGAAGTGTAGGTAGCTGGCTATAGCTACAGCTGCTAATTAGGATGGGCAGTAAAGAAGAGGCTGAAGAAAACTGTATTTTGAACATATTTGCCTTCGGCCCACTCAAACTAGCAGTGCCTCTCAACTCGATTCAGTGTTGATTACATCTAGAACAGGGCGGTCAACTTGCAGCCTGTGGGCTGGACGCATCACGCGCTGGCCACACCCATGTCTGATTTAGCAAAGGGGGGGGGAAGCCCCAATATGCTGCTGTGTCGCCGTGAGTTTGACACCCCCTATTCTAGAATAAATGTAGACCGGGGATCTCCAACCTTGGCAACTTTAAGACTTGTGGACTTCAACACCCAGAATTTCCCCACCAGCCATGCTGCCTGAAGAATTCTGGGAGTCCACAAGTCTTAAAGTTGCCACAGTTAGAGACCCCTGGTTTATACAAAGAGTGCTTTGGGTTATTAATACCATCCTCTGTTATGTAACTTCCAAATAATATAGGTGCTTAAAGGACTAATGATTATTTTACTCCAAGGAATTGAACTTTTTTAAAAAAATTAAAACTAGAGAAGGTTCTGTTATAACCTACTGATGTGAACAATATACTGCAAGTAGTACCAGAGTTCTCCCAAATTTCATCTTTTTACATCCTTGCTCTGGCATACATACAGTAATCAGAAGAAATATCATTCTATTCCCCAGAATCATTAATCTTGAATTAAACAAATATTAACTTTGCTAGGTGTTTCTCAACCTTAACAACTTTTAAGATGGCTGAGGAATCTTGGGAGTTGAAGCCCCTATATCTTACAGTTGCCAAAGTGGAGAAACAGTGACATAGTTCTTTCCAACTTGGCAATTCAATGTACCAGGACTGGAATTCCTAAAATTTTCAAACCCCATACTAGATGGGAACTCTGCCAATTGGCACACATCAGAAAAAGGCATCAAGGTCAGGGAAAGTTATTATAGCTGAATAATTCAATGTGCATGTTTTTCAAATATTGTTTTCAAATATTGACAAGTTTGAAAGTATTCAAACAATTTCTTTCCCAGCCATTGTTTCTAAATTCAGCATTGATTATATTTTCCATGAAATGCATTCATTACAGTGCATAAGAAATTACACAAATTAAAATAATAGTGTATTACAGACTATATTTGGTATGCTAATCTTCTAATCCGAAGGAAGTAACCTCGCAAAACATCTTCCTTATACCATGTCAATCTCTAGAAGATGTTATGCCTGAACATTTAAATCAAAACTTAAAATATTATCTTTATCATTCAGGGTAGTTATTAAACAGTAAGACCTCAGATGCTAAGGCAAGAATTTCAAGAAATCACTCAATTTAGAAAAAAAAATTAAATGTATTTTTCTTAAAATAATATATATTTAAATAGTTGTCTATCTTGCTCTTTATATATTGCATCCATTAATTTTTATTCCATAAATGCAGGTTGCTAGACGTTGTTGGTCTGGTAACAACAACGCTTATGAAACCATCTGTCAAGCCATGGACAAAGAGAAGAATCTGAAAGTGACACTTCCACATAAGGTGTTAGATGACAGCATCTTGGAACAAGCTCTGAGTTGTTAATTGGACAATCATCGTTTATTCAGCCTTTTTTAAACCGGGCTCCAACTGCTACTTTCCTCTTGTTCTAGTCCAAAGCTCCCATTTATGATACAATAAAAGAATGGTTGAATTTTCTCTTTCAGGAATGTAATACTAAAATAAATCTATATTAGTAATATCAGTTTCTGCACGTTGAACGTTAATGCAAGCTTTTCAGACACAAATCACCAAATGATTTCCAATCTAGGAAATCTTGGTATGTTCTCTAAAATTAGTCCCAATAGTTATTTGATTAGAAATCCATGCAGAAAAAGCAAGAGGCAACACTTTTTCTACTGCTAATCGTAATGTCATTGCTTGCTGCAAATTGGGTTCTTTGTTAAGATTTTTGGTCAAAGCTCAGCATTATTGTATTTCACTGACAACCCCTCTCCTGCCCTCAACTTCACAGCAAAATCAGACTCACGCTGAGCAATACTCAAAATGCATTTTGAATAGCTTTGATTTCAATACAGTGTTTTTTGGCTGTTTTATATGGAGACTGACGATATATAATACATTTGTGTTAGCTCCCTAACAATTCAGTCTGTTGATTTCCTCTTCGCTATATCTGGGTGAGGAGCAGCTATCACATGGTCCAACGTTTATTCAGATTTTTGCTTTTTGCCCATATTACAGTGTGGAAATTGTCCCAGCCAAATTGTAATCACTTTTAAGTGTTATAGTTGGCTTTTAGTTTTAAATAACAGATTAACAGAGTTGGGACTTTATAGGTCATCTAGTCCAACCCCCCCTGCGCTCAAGCAGGAGACCTACACCATTTCTGACAAACGGCAGTCCAATCTCTTATTGAAAGTCTCAAGTGATGAAGCTCCCACAACTTCTGAGGGCAAGCTATTTCATTGGTTGATTGTTCTCACGGTCAGAAAATTCCTCCTTATTTTCAAGTTGAATCTCTCCTTGGTCAGTTTCCATCCATTATTCCTTGTCTGACCTTCAGGTGCTTTGGAAAATAGCTTGATCCCTTTCTCTCTGTGGCAGCCCCTCAACACTGCTATCATGTCTCCCCTGGTCCTTCTCTTCAGTAGACTAGTCATGCCTAGTTCCTGCAACCATTCTTCATATGTTTTAGTCTCCAGTCCCCTAATCATCCTGGTTGCTCTTCTCTGCTGCACTTTTTCTGGAGTTTCAAAATCTTTTTAATGGAAGGCTGAGTAAACCTTGAGCCAGTGAGATTTGAACTGCCAAATTGAAGGCAGCCGGCAAGCAGTAGAAGTAGCCTGTAGATTACAACAATTGTGGCTGCTACTTGGAATGGATGATAAAATTATCCTTCCCTGCACATGGAGAAAAACAAATTTTTCACTTACATTGCTACAGTAATGGATTCTACTCCAGGCTATCCCTGAGATGATGCATATCTTAAATCACGAAAATAATGCCAGAATATTTCTAACTTGGTGCCAAATAATCCCATTGACATTGTTCAAGTTTCTGAATTTTTTATATTTTGTATTTACCAGTAATTTTAAAAGGTTTCAATTTTATTAGAGAATGATTTCGTATACCCTGTTGAATACAGTCACAGACAACATATGGGCTGTTGGTCTGAGCTCTGAGCTTGACAATTTTGTTGCAAACATTTCATCTCCTTCCAGGAGACATTCTCCAATGGTGACCAAATATTTGCAACCAAATTGCCAAGATCAAAGCACAGCCCAACAGCTTAACTACCAACCCGAGCTACTTATATTCAGATATGTTTCAACAGTCAACATATTTCAGCATCTCACTTAGAAGTTGGTGCCTGGACATTTTTAAATTGGATATGTTCACTTTAAAAATATACCGTGGATTTAAAGTACGGGATCTAAAGTACGGGACAGTAATGTTTGTCTGAAGCACAAGATGTTCATTTTCACACCAACATGCCAGATTTATTTCTCGTCATCCTGAATTTACAAGGGCACACCGAGTAACTTTCATACCTAGGAGTTAGCTGAGTAGCAGACTGCAGTTTGGCTCTGATTTAGAAGGGGCAGTGAGACATAGTTAAAAAAAATGATCATGTGAAGAAGGGGCTGGATATCATATACTGCATCAAGCAAAGAAAAGTCAGAGATGGATGAAGATCTTTCCTCAGTACTGATTTACAGTACTCTCCATATATCCTAGAACAGGTAGAAAACTATGAGGTGAAAGTGGCACCATAGGAATATGTGAAAAAAGAGAGGTTGATAGACGTGTTAGGAAACGCAAGGAGCCATGGCCATGATGTGCTGTGATTATTGTTAAAAGTGAGACTTACCGGTACTCTTTGATTTGGGAGCTGAACAAAGTAATTTTAATCTCCTTCAAAAATGTGGTTTTTGCAAGCATTTTGTTCCACGGATCCATGGCAACAATTTAAAAGCTAAATTATAAGTGAATCACTGCTTGTTCATCAGTCTAAGCTATACCAAAGTCATTAGCTTGGAGAATAGTACCAAGTGGAGTGTCACAGGACTCTGGGCTGGGCCCATATTGTTCCACATTTTTATCAATGACTTGGCCAAATGGGAAGTTGGACAGGATCATTTTCTGTTTTAATGATGACACTAAATTAGGATTAGTGGCTAATGCTTTAGAAGAAAAAGAAAAGATTTTTTTTTAAAAGCCTATATGGGTTGGAAACTTGGCCTGAACAGAATTTAAGGAGAAATATAAATCCCTGCATCAAGAGAAGAATAAGGAGAAGCACAAGTAAAAGATGGAGGAGGTGTGATTTGACCAGAGTTCATATCAAATAAATTCTGGGTGTTCTAAATCACAAATTTAACATCTGCCAATAAAGTGATGTAGCTGTTAAAAGGCAAAGGCAATTCTGGAATGTATTAAAAGATGTAGGATCCAGATCACACAAAGTTCCACTCTATTCTTCTTTGGTCAGTCTAAAAAGAACATAACTGGAATAATTTTATAGAAGATCAAGATGGCAAGGGTAATGGAAAAAATACTGTGAGGAAATGGGTATACGTAGCCTGTAGTAAGGGAGATATAATAGCAACCTTCTTCTGTCCAAAGTGTTTTTATGTAGAGAAGAGAGTGGATTTCTGAGTTACTCTAGCAATCAAGTCCAGAACCAGCAGTTCAAACTACAGGGAGATAGATTTCATTCAGTTATTACAAGGAGATTGCTAATAGTAAAAGCTGTCAACCAGTAGAATAGGTTCTGCTTCATGTAGCAATAGCACTTAGATGTATATACTGCTTTACAGTGCTTTACAGCCCCCTCTAAGTGTTTTACACAGCAGTTTATATTGCCCCCCCCCCCCAAAATTGGGTCCTCATTTTACCCACCTCAAAAGAATGGAAGGTTGAGTCAACCTTGAGCCTGGTGGGATTTGAATTGCCAAATTGCAAGCAGCTGGCAATCAGCAGAAGTAGCCTGCAATACTGCACTCTAACCACTGTGCTGCCAAGGCTCAGTTGGTGTAGTGATTATGTTTTTCAGTAGAGATCTTCAGGTGCTGGATAGCACTGTTCCCTCTAAGGTGCGCGCGTGCGCGGCCGCGCAC